GGGAATGGGGTGTGTGCTGAGCCAGCACCCACGTTTTCCTGGCAGGTGGGTGGCCTACGAGGGCACCAACTTCTCTGGCGAGCAGTACATCCTGGAGAAGGGGGTGTATCGCAGCTGCGAGGACTGGGGCGCCACCGACTGCCGCATCGCCTCGGCACAGCCCATCCTGCAGGTGACAGCAACAGGCACCCCCCCACACACCCCACACCCCCAGCCACGGGTGTCAGTGGCCAAGGGGCTGGTGGGGATCCGGGGCAAGATGCCAACCAGCCCCTCTCTGTTTGCTTCCAGGTCGGGGAACACAACCTCCATTTCGTCTCCAAGGTCAGGGGTGGCAGATGGGGAGGGGGATGTGACACCCTCCCCCAGGGGATGTGGGGTGGTGGTGATGCTGTGCCCCCCTCACTGAGCCCCTCTGCTCCCCCTCCCCAGATCCTGCTCTTCTCAGAACCTGACTTCTTGGGGGACCACATTGCCTTTGAGGAGGATCAGGATGCCCTTCCTGACACCTTCGTCCCACGCTCCTGCAGAGTCCGGGGGGGCAGGTGGGGTGTCCCCAGGCCCTGCTGCCTCCAGCCTGGGACACAAACAGGGAGAGGATGGGCAGGGCAGGGGTGCTGGGGGGCACAGGAGGGATGGATGCCCACCATGATGGCCGTGTCAGCCCCGTTGTGCTCTTCCCCACCAGCTGGATCCTGTTTGACGGGCAGGACTTCACGGGGGAGCAGCACGTGCTGTCAGAGGGCGAGTACCCCACGCTCAGCGCCATGGGCTGCCTCTCCTCCACTGCCATCTGCTCCTTGAAGAAGGTCCCAGTGGTGAGTTCCAGCCCCTCCTTCCCTTCCCACCAGCAGGACCCCTCCAGGAACCCCGTTTTTCCCCTTCTGTGGGTATCCCCCTGCAGGCTCTCCAGCCTTGGTGCCTTTCTGCACCCCTGGGTGCTCAGTCATCCTGCTTTTCCCCCCTTCCACCTCATCTCTTACCCCATCCTACAGTTTTTCTCAGAGCCTTCCATCTTCCTGCACGGGCTGGAGTGTTTTGAGGGGAAGGAGATCGAGCTGAACAACGAGGTGAGGAGTCTCCAGGCAGAGGGGTTCAACAACCACGTGCTGTCGGTGCGAGTCAAAGGCGGGATGTAAGTGAGCCCCAGCCCTGCCCTCCCCCAGCTGTGGGTGCCACCTGCCTGGGTGTGACTGTGCTCTCTGCCTGTCCCATCCCATCCCATCCCATCCCATCCCATCCCATCCCTCACAGCTGGGTGCTGTGTGAACACGGTGACTTCCCAGGCAGCCAGTGGCTGCTGGACTGCACTGAGATCACCAACTGGCTGACCTACAGTGGGCTCCAGCACGTGGGGTCCCTCTACCCCATCCGCCAGGTGAGTGCTGGGACAGGATGGGGTGGGGAACCCCAAAACCTGGAAGCAGGTGGCTCACATGGAACTAAAGAGCTGCTGGTCCTGATGGCCAGGAGGAGGATGTGGTAGTGGCTGTGGGTGAGCTGGGAGAGGCAGATGGACATGGCCAGGGGATCAGCAGGACACAGCCATGGCAGCTGCAGCACACTGCTGGCAGCTCTGGCCCATGCAAGGTCCCACCAGCCCAGCACTGTCCCCCCAGTCCCTGTCCCCTGCCCTGGGAGTGGCAGCCTTGGCAGTGAAAGGCTCTCCAGGGGCAGGTGCCTTGCAAAACACCCAGGCATCCCGGAGCTGTGCCCGTGCCAGCCAGGAGAGACAGCCCAGGGCCACAGCTGTCACCTGGGGAGATGCAGGGAGCCCTGAGGGGACAGGCAGGACCCTCCCAGCAGCCACCCTGGGAGAGCAGGGCCCTCCCTACTCAAAGCCACCAGCCGAATGAAGTCCAGCCATTGCACCCGGGGCCAGAGGTGCAGGCAGCTGAGCTTTTTGGTGCAAAAAAGGGTTTCTCTCTTGCCAGAGACGGATCTATTTCCGCATCAGGAGCAGGGAGCTGGAGCTCTACCTCTCTGTCCCCGACGACGTGGAGGACATGAAGGCAGGACGGGTGGTGGTCTCCAGCCTGAGTGAGCAGAGCAGCTCCATCTGGTACTACGAGGATGGGCTGATCAAGAACCAGGTCAGGGCTCACCTGTGACAGCCAGAGCCAGGAGGGGACCTGGAGAGCCCCAGGGAGGACCTGGTTGGACTCCTTCTGGGTTCTCCCCATGCCCCAGAGATCTTTTCAGGCTGAAACAGCCTTTCCCAGCATCTCTCCTCAGCCTTGTTCCTGAAGATCAGTTGATTCTGTCCTCCCCAAGTCTCCCCTGAAGATGTGAAGGCATTTCTGCCTCCCTTCAGGCACCCTAATCACCCCCTCCTCTCACTGAGGGCTTTTCCTGCTCATCCCATGTCCCAGCTGCATTTACAGGGAAACCCCTTAGAGCCCCAAGCCTCTGTGCTGGGTGGAGGTGCCAGAGAGGAGCAGGCTGACCTGGCCACCACCACTCCTTGCAGGTTGCCCCCAACATGAGCCTGCAGGTGATCGGGCCGGCCGGGAAGGGCGCCAAGGCCGTGCTGTGGTCTGAGACCCGGATGCCCCGTCAGACCTGGAGCGTCGACGCTCAGGGACGGATCCACAGCCAGATGTTTGAGGACATGATCCTCGACATCAAGGGTGAGGCCTCGGCACAGGAGCTGCTGCTTTCCCTGCAGGAGATGGGGCAGCCACCCCCTCCCTGCCAGCAGGAGCAGGGATTCCCCTCCTGAATCCCTCCCCTCTCCCCGCAGGTGGCCGATCCTACGACCGGGACCATGCCATTGTTTGGGACATGGCTGAGGAAAGACCCACGCAGATATGGGACATCCAGGTGCTATGAGGGGCTGGGCCTGTGGCCCTCACACCCAGGACTTCCACGGAGCAGGATGGAGACACCCTGCCTAGGGACAGGAGGCCTCCCACCCCACACCCCCCTCTCCTGTCTATGCCTCACGAAGGACACAACAGGCACAGAACCCTCTGGAGAGCAGCAGAACCCCTCCCTCACTGCCTTCCCCCTCTGAACTGTATTTATGTATGTAAGATACAGACCTGCTCGCCCAGGTCAGCTCTGCTTGGGTGGTTGGTGTCCTTGTCCTCACCCTGGCCACAGCCTGGCAGCCCCACCTCAACACCTGTGCCCCTCACAGGTCTAATCCTGCTCCCGATATGAGAGCCCAGCACCCTGCAGGCCCTGCCCTCTCAGCACAGACCCGCACCCTGCAGGCCCTGCCCTCTGAGCACAGACACGCACCCTGCAGGCCCTGCCCTCTCAGCACAGACCCGCACCCCGCAGGCCCTGCCCTCTCAGCACAGACCCGCACCCTGCAGGCCCTGCCCTCTCACCGACCC